ACACACACACACACACACACACACACACACACTCCATGGAACAAAAGCTGAGGAGGAGAAAAGCACAGACATGGAAATATCTACTCATAAACTCAATTTATCGCCCTTTTTGTCACTTACAGTATTGCCAGACGTTTGGCGTTCCTCTGAGAAAGAGCAGAGCACTTTTAGGGGCTGGGTGGTATTATTTGCCTTTTTCCCCCTCAGCTGAAAAGTTTCTCTCAGAGTGACACACATTTGAGAGTTCGGGGTTTTAGCCAGATGTCTTCTTTCCTCAAGTAAAAGTGAGTCATGCCAAGGCTGGAAATCACCACTGTCACAGGAGGTCAGAGGATTTGTGGTTGGGGCAGCTACATGAAACCAGGTTACAGACAAGTATGAGCACATCACTCAGGGAAATTAACTTTATTAAGCACAAATGAGTGAAAGAGACGCCATTGACTTGTCTTCAACATGATCCGCCTCCTGCTCTCCAGATGTCATCACTTAAGCACAAATGTAAACTCAGCAGAAAGCTCAGTTGTCACCCTGGAGATAATGACGAGCCCCTTTTAAATCGTTTCTGCTCTCAGGTTTCAGCTCTAAGCAGCACTCGAGTAATATAGTTCAATGCATCGCTTTACACCTGCAGCTGTTTAGCATCACACACTCGCAGACAAACACTGGCTGTCATGGCAACCAAAGCGTGTAATATTATGTTGAGTGGACGGGCAACGAAAGCTCTCTGCTGTGTTTATCGCTGGCAACCTGTTTAGTTTCATGGAATCTTGTGTGACCCCAGCTGGGGCCTTGACAACAGACGTCAATGCACAACAGGCTACATTAAGAAATTAAGGCCTTTTAAAGGAGTTAATTACCAAAATTATATGATGTAGTTAACTACGAGAGGGCAGACAAATGCACAAAGTCACAGTTATGGGAAGTTTCAAGCATGTTTTAATCCCATAATAGGGTGAGCGGTGATAAACAAACAGCTCGAACATTTTTGGTAATATAGAGTCTGAGTACACAGCCACCCAATCGGATCACCTCTTCCTTTGAATGGTCGCCATAACAACATCACCATGGTAATCAGCGGGTATTGACTTTGATTCTATTTATGCGATGATGTCAGCCGATGTGAAAAATCTCACAATCTGTGTTTCTCGGCTGACACGTGCTGACAGATGCAGAATGATGGAGGAATGTAGACCCTCACATACTCCTGTGTTTTGGTTTGGAGTTTGCGTGCACAGATGCAGGCAAACGTGGCATCAACTGATATGGTGCTGTAACAGGTCATGAATCTGGTCAGGGATTTTACAGCCACATATTGCAGCCATACAATAAGAACTACGCCAGTGGACTCCATTTGGTAAATTGACTTTTTGGTTCACACACACACACACACACA